TGCTAGAAGATCTCTTTGCATACTGATATCTCTGAGATTAGATTTTGAGGCATTGTTTTATTATGGTTGCAGTTCTTCCTGGAGGAAAAAGTTCACAAGATGGTCCAAGGGAGTGGTAGCGATAGTTTCTTGTGGATCCTGGCACAAAAAAGTAATTTGCCCTCCCATTGATTGTGTGGCATAAATATGATTCTCTACATCTCAGGCTTAGTGGGTAAAAAAAGCTTTGCAGTTTCTTTTGAGATTGTTATGTGTATTTTCTATAATATTTTCACAGCTTTTGTTTTTAAGTAGTGCAGTGGAGAATGGATGTTAGACTACAACTTACAGGCCCTTTTGTATATACTTAATAGGATCTTAAATATTTATTTCACTTTGCTTGATACATTAATTGCAGTGCTCAGTTTTTAAATTTTATTATTATTTAGTATTTTCCAGTACAATAAAGTAGCAAAATAGTATACAAGAAAAAATAAAGAATAAGAAAATGCAAGAATGAACCCCCCCATAAGAACATTTACATTGGACTTTCAACCTTCCTAATGATGATTAAACAGAATTATAATAAACTAAGTTCTCCAGTTATAATTACTATACATATAATTCTTCTGCTTTATCAAATCGACTAATTATCAAAACCTACAGTTAATATATTATTATCTTTTTTTCCAGCAAAAAGGCAATTAAAGATTCACTGTCTTTCAAGAATATCACCAGTGATTTGTTTCTAACCAATACTATTAATTTATCCATTTCAGCCAAGTTATCAAATTCAGCAATCAATCTTCTTTTCTGCTGTATTTTCCCACTTCTATGCATGCAATAATTGCTGCAGTGGTCACATAACATAGTATTTCCCCATAATTCTTCTTTATTTGCTCATCCATCAATCCCAACAGGAACATTCCAGGTTTCAACTGAATTTTAACATTTAATATATCTTGTATCAAACCATGTATTAGGCTCCAGAATTTCTTAGCTTTCCCACAGGTCCACCACATATGGTAAACCATTCCAACCTGCTGCTCACATTTCCATCTTACATTAGAAATCCCATTGTGTATTTTAGCCAATTTTTCTGGAGTCAATTTCTCAGTTTTGTAATACTGCATTTATTATTTTGCTATTTTTTCTTTACAGTAAAGTTATTTATTAACACTGGAATGCATGTATTTCTTACTTATTTGTTATAGCTCTCTGGCTGCATCCACATTGCGGAAATAATCTTGGTTGACACCACTTTCACCACTTTAACTGCCGTGGCTCAATGCTATGGAATTCTGGAAATTGTAGTTTTATGAGATATTTAGCTTTTTCTGTCAGAGAGCTCTGGTGCCACAACAAACTACAGTTCCCAGAATTCCATAGCCTTGAGCCATGGCAGTTGAAGTAGTGTCAGCTTGGATTATTTCTATAGTGTGGATGCAGCCTCTGTCTTTCATGGTTCTATACATGACTCTCCTCCTATCCATGTCATCTATCGCAAAATCCCTATGAGGCAGCAAACCTCTAAAAGAGATTTCTTGAAGGGCTGTTTGGAAATGCATCACACAATTCATAACTACACAGGAGCACCTCTTAAGAGAGAATCAACATGACGTAATGGTTTGTGTATTGGATTAGGATTCTGAGGGCTTGTCTACATAGACAGTTGTCTACACAACCCAGTTTGCCTTTGGGTTACCCCAATCCACAACAGCTATAGGCTGGATGGCCATCTATTGAGAATGCTTTGATTGTGTGCTTCTGCATGACAGCAGTCTGGACTGGATGGACCTCTCTTCCAACTCTTATGATTCTATGATTCAAAGAACTATGGCTTGTTCTAACTACTGTCAATCAAAACAAACCTGGAGCAAAACAGAGAATGATATCCTGGCTAATTAAGCAATTATATATGAACAAATCACAGTCCTCAAAGTTCAGATATCACAGGGAAATGTATTTAATTGTAAAGTACAGGGCCATGACTACTAACTGCCCTATGAGAGGGGCATGCAGTGGGAGGCCAAGCTCCTGTTTTATCTGTACTGTCCTTCTTTTACCCCAAAAGGCTTTCTATCAACAACTACTATGATGTCGATCTTTATAAACTGTTATTTTAAGTTCAGAGACATACCTCAGTCAGTCTGGAAAATCAGTATGCAGAGAGATTTTGTAGCACCTTTGAGACTAAAGCTGCATCAGCACTGCAGAAATAATCCAGTTTGAGACCGCTTGAACTGCCCTGGCTCAATGCTAGGGAATTCTGGGAACTGTAGTTTTGTGAGACATATTTAGCCTTTTCCTGTCAGAAAACTCTGGTACCACAATAAATTACAATTCCCAGGATTCCCTAGCATCGAGCCAGGGCAGTTCAAGCAGTCTCAAACTGGATTATTTCTGCACTGTGTTTATGACCTAACTGAAAGAGAGAAGTTGGTACCATGAGCTTTCATGGATTTGAGTCTACTTCCTCAGATGCATGCATCTTTGCATGTTGTTATTTTTAATGTTGATCATATTGCTTTTTAAAAAAATAAATTTATTTTTTTATCTTACCTGTAAGGCACCTCAAAAGGATTTTCATCTGGAAGGCTGTGGTATAAGTCATCCTATTAAATAAGTATTCCTTAAAAAAAAAAAAAAAAGAACAATGCCTATTCAAGCAAGGGAGAACCAGAATGGTTAGGATAAGCACAGGCCTCAAAGAAGCTTTTTCTCACAGCCTGTTGTTATTTGAGTATCCAAGTATCCTAATGGAGGAAGGGAAGTGCATGGGATTGTTTAGGAAAGTAGAAGGCTTTGGGGCAGGTAAAGGTGGAAAAAAGGAGGAGCAAATGCTCCTTTCATTTATGCATCCATTTAAAGTTCTCCTTAGCCTTTCCTCCTCCTCCTCATTCTACCCATGAGCTCCCACCCTCCACCTTTACCCTTACCAGTAATGGAGAAGAAAAATAGCAGCTGCTTGTTCCTTTTGTTATCCAAAAAGGTGGTGGTGGGGAGAGACTTTGCGTCCCCACCAACTGTGTTTAGTGTCCACTTAAACATTGGGGAGTTGATGAGCTCAAAGAAGGCCTCTGAGAGGATGGTAACTGGGGGATCATTTCACCTATGTATAACAGTATCCTAATGGAGGAAGGGAATAAAGAAGGTTTTATTTAGAAATATGCAAGAGTGCAAACAAACACACAATAGCAATTCAGTCAGAAATACTATGGAAGGCTAACCCAAATAGAGGTATGGAATACTGGATCACAGAGGCTTAGCACTGTAGATAGGGTGATATTTACCAGTCCTGCAGAGTAATCGATGGAAAGTAGGGTGTGACTCAGACAGCATCTGAGGGCAATACAGGAAGAGGAAACTCTGGGTGGATGGACAGAGCTTTAGTTAGTGGCCGCTGTATGTGGAGTGGCTGCCGTATGTGCAGAGAGACCATGTGTGGGTTGGATATTTATAAACTGGTTGGTACCCTCAAGGGATGCTTAATGTTTGATTGCTTTCCCATGAAATTGACAAAAAGACCATTTTGAGTAGATGGTCTTAAGAGTGATTGGCTATGGGACTATCCCAAGATAAACGGATAGGGAAGTTGGCTGGGAACACAGCATGGGAGCACAGAGAAGATATGGTCTTATCTGCCTTAGTGCTATGTGTCTCCTGTGCAAGAGGATATGTGGAAAGCCTAGGAGGAAAATGGAGAGATCAGCAAACACATTTAACTCTTATTTTGGTATTACCATCACATGTCTTCAGATCAGCATGCCTTTCCCATGGGAAAGCTTCCCGGTGTTCTAAATGTCATTGTGACCTCTTAAGAATGTGCCTGGCTCTAGATATGAAAATATGAAACTCCTGTATGGAGAGTGTAGGAAGCTATGCTAACACTATGGACGTTATCACATGGGGCAAATCTGCTGGTTAATCCACACAAATCCGAAACAAAAACTGGATTTGTGCCTCGCGTTTTCACATGATGTCGCACAGAAACTGGACAGAAAGTGCACAGAAACTGGTGTTATCCGAGATCTTTTGAAATTTGGTTGTTTGGAGGAAATGCAAATGCGAAATTAAGGTAATTTCACATTTACCGTAATGTGAAAAGCAAATGCGAATTTGGGAGCATTTCCCTGCTTTTCCCATGGTTCCAGTGAGCATTCCTCTATCTGTGCATGTGCAAGAAGCTCATTTCTAGTACATTTATGGGCTTTTCTCACTTGTGTGTGAACGTTAAATGCGCTTACTGTAATTTCGCAATTATGGTAATTACGTGTGAAAGCCATTTGCGGAATCAAGTTTTATTTTCAGTTTATTTTCGGAATGCCTCATTTCCACTTTATTATCACTTTCTGGCCCACGTGTGATAACGTCCTATGTCAATGTGACAGTGAATTAACAAGGTTTTAACTAGATTGAAAGGAACTCTCCATGATGCTGAACACAGCTGCTGGATAGGGTCAAGCATCTTTGGCTTGAAGCGAATGGGTGGCTAGGTGTGTCCCCTGGCTGCTCCAGGTGTGATTGGGCCCCAATCAGCTTGGGACTGCAGAACTGGATGGTCTGCTCCCAAAGTGGGCTGCCAGCTGGAGTGTTTTTTGCCACTCCTTTTGCCAGTAGCTTCTGGCTGCCTTAAGCAGTCTTGGAGCAGCTTCTGGCCTCTTTGAGGGCATGTGTCATCTGCACACCACACCCTCAAAGCAGTTGGAAGCCGCTCCTTTTGGCCCATCTGTTTTGGGCCTTTAAGAGCTCTTTTAAATTCCAAATTACAACCTGGTGTGCATTCACTGCCCCATAACATGGGAACCTCCAGCCAACATTGAGGGAAAAGTGTTAGACAGATATATGGAAGAGTGAATTATTGAGGCAGTAGTTCTCAAGAAAGGTGAGAGTCTGAGGCTTGACAAGGGAAAGCCAGGGAGGAGGTGACTGTACAGTTGTTTTATCTGGTTTAGAAAATATGACACGCACTTGTTGCTCCAAGTCATGTTTTATTTATGGCGACCCTAAAGTGGATCTGAGCCAGGGTGATGTAGTGGTTTGAGTATTGGACTACAACTCTGGAGACCAGGGTTCAATTCCCTGCTCAGCCATGAAACCCACTGGGTGACCTTGGGCAAGTGACATGCTCCCAGCCTCAGGGGAAGACAATGGCAAAACCTCCTCTGAACAAATCTTGCCAAGAAAACCCCATGGTGGGTTTGCCATAGGATCGCCATAAGTTGGAAATGACTTGAAGGCACACAACAACAACAACAACAACAATGAGGGGTCTATCATAGAGTTTTCTTAGCAAGTTTCTTCAGAGAGGGTTTGCCATTGCCACCTTGTGAGGCTGAGACACTATGATTTGCCCAAGGTCACCTAGGATTAATTGCCACCACACGTAAAAATAATTTACTGGTGGGTAGGCATGCTTACAATTGAAGTATATGGGAGCTTTTAAAAAGATTTTGATTTCTTCCAGAAAATACAAGTGGCTCTCCACCCAGAGATACAATTAGCCAGGGCAGCTTCATATTTAGGATGAATCACAAAGAAGCAGAAACTTTTCATTTATTCTGCTGCAAAACAGCAGGATGTTTCTTCTCAATTTACTAGCTGCATCTGTCAATGATATCCATGGCCAAACAAAACTCCCCAGAAACATCTGAATGGATGGAAGCATTTTAAATTCCAAATGGTAAAGGAGTGAGGAAATGCCTCTTGAGGGCAGTATTGGATCAGCCAGAAGAGCCACATTCCGTGGGGATGAGCTCAGTCTAAAGTTGGAAAAAAAATGAACGGATATAGTCCTAATTCAAAAAAGGCTGAGTGGCTAAGGCGTGTTTCCTTTTGGCAGATACCACACATTATTAATGTCATGCAGAATATGGGGAAACTATAAAGCTAATTAACAGTGTCAGTTATGAGCCCCGTTTTGGCAAAAGCATCCACAGTCTCACCATTAATGCCGGCTTAATATGGTTGCCTTTAATGGTATGTTTTGTCAAAAGATCCCAGGAAAGAAGCAAAGGATGTGCCACGATGCCGGCTAGAAGTATGCGACATTCCCTTATGACAGCACCAACAACCTTTCACTATTCTATTTGACCCTGGGCAAGTCACACTTTCTCAGCCTCAGAAGAAGGCAATGGCACCCCCCCCCCGAACAAATATTGTCAAGAAAACCCTGTGATAAGTCTGCCATACATTCATCATGACCTGAAGGCACACAACATTCATCATGACCTGAAGGCACACAACAGCAAGATTCTAAAAGAATGTCTGTTACCTGATTCTGCCACTGTTATATCCCTTCCCATCCTGGAAATAATAATATTTATTGATTTCCAGTGTGCTGCCACAAAGACTGCATTAAAACATTAACCAGTGCATCTGGCAATACAGTTGAGCTGTCATTTATTAGAAAATAATTCTTCCTGAACCCACCCAAAGAGGAATGAATATTCTCTTAATGTTTTCTGTTGTGGCATCCACCTTATTTTCACCAAACACTAATGGCTGCTGCATAAACTGAGGACAATCTGCTTTTTGCAATGCATTAACACCACTCCTGGGCCTAATGCCTGGCCTGTTTTGAAGGTACCTTGATCTTAATCCATTTGTTATTGAAGGCTGGGCTGAAAGCTATACCAGACTACCTTTTTTTCTATGATAGCATCATGCCTGTTGAATTCTCTTTTGAGATAGCCTGTAAGACTTGTGAATTTTTGCATCCTTGTACAATCTGGCCAGTTTCTGCCTCAAATAGAAGAAAAAAAAATTCCCCTCCTATTTGGGGTGGAAAAAAGCTGTCCCTTTACTTCTAGAGCTGCCTTTTCACTGGCTCCAGGGTGAGTGATGTCTAAACGTTATGCCCCCAAGTCGCCCGGTGTGACTTCTGGGCAACTTGGGAACATGGCGCATGTATTAAATATTATTATTAAATATTATTTAATTTAATTTAATTTAATTTAATTTTAATATCATCTTTTGTTTCATTTCATTTGATTTATCTTTTACTTTATTGTATGTTTAATGTATTATTAATTTGTTTTTATTTATTTTTATCTTTTATTTTATGTAGTTTTTTAAAGTTTGTTTAGTTTAGTTTATATAATTTTATTTAACAAATTATAATTTTATTAAATTTTAACTTTAACTTAACTTAAATTAATATGGTTTTATTTTTTCTAATACACTTATTAATTTACAATATAATTTTAATTTCAATTTCATTCTAATACAATGCAATGTAATGTTTATTTCACTTTATTTATGAATTAAATTAAAATTGGAAAATAAATTTAATTTATTGCAATTTATTTCTGTTCATTTAAAGTAAACATAAATAAAAATTACAATATACAAATGTTAAAATTAAAGTTATAAATAAAATTATTTAAAATAATATTGTTGTAAACATAAAATTACAATATACAAAAAACATCTAGGGATAGCCATGTTGGCCATATAGCAAATCCAATAACATCCAATGATACCTTTATTGGACCAATGAAAATTCACAATTACATGTTGCAAGCTTTCAGTCACACTGGCTTTTTCATCAGGCAAACAAGTTTGATGCATTTTCTGTTTCTGATCTCAGTTCACATCTGAATTGAGATCAGAAACAAAAAATGCAGGCCCAAGACTAACATCTTCATTTTTTTTCCTCCTGTTTGCCTGATGAAGAAGCCAATGTGATTTCAAAAGCTTGCAACATGTAATTGTGAATTTTGGTTGTCCCAATTAAAATATACAATATAGATTAAAAGGTCAATAAATTAAAATAAAAATTCAAATTAAATAAAATTGAAATAAAAAATTAAAATTAAAATTAATTTTTAAAAAGTAAAATATTAAAAATAATAAATAAATAAATAAATAAAAATATTGAACTTAAATAAAATAAAATAAAATAAGATGAACATGAAAATAAATGAAATGAAAATGAAATGAAAATTAAAAATACAAAAAACAGTAGATTTAATTTTAATTGAAATTACAATTAAAATTAAAATTCAGTAAATAAAAATAAAATCAATCAATAAATAAGAAAATAAATCAATTTATATTTAATAAAAAGGAAAAATAAAATAAAATTTAAATAAGAAGAAAAAGAAATAAAATTCAGAAATTCAAAATTAGAATGATAATAATAAAAATAAAATCAAGATAAAAATGGCAGTAGAACTCGCTTTCTCAGGAGGTCCTGTTCGCCCCCCTCCCTGCTCCTTCCGCAGGCAGCAGAGAAAGGCCGGCCAACTCCATCAGGCCTAGCTTGAAAAAGAAGAAGCCCTCCTACATCCACCATTCTCCAGAGTGAGAGAAAAGGTCTGGTCAGCTTGCCTTGGTTTTGCAAAACCAAATAAA